TGCTACCAAAACAGTTAACTTTTAAAAGCGCGGTTGTAAGATCTTAAAGATCTTCTTGTTGCTGGATGACGTCTAACCTCGTTCTCAGGGTCCTTTCTCTACCTCGAGAACGTTCTCGTCCCCATAGCCCTTTTCGCTCCTCTTAGCCGGCAGGGCCTTGACACTAGAATCCATGAGCAAAAAATGGCGGCTCCGGCAAGTGGGGATATTGTTATCTTTCTCAAAGGAGTTCGAAAGACGATTGACAGGATAGAGAGTAAGCTAGAAGAGTACGTGGAAGAATTTTGTCGCCTTCCTAAATTAATCATGGAAGCTTTTCGTGCGGGAGGAGCTGATCTAAGCGCACAAGTAAACCTCAGTCTTAAATCACAACTGCAAAAGAATTTGTCAGACATCTACATGTGCCTGAAACTGCATCTGGCACTTCACCTTGGAGGAGACATTGCGTTGCAGCATAAAGAGCTCTCGACACTTGGCTATGATATCCTTAAACTGTCAGAACCTGAAGTACCTGAAGTGAATACTCTTCCAGATGAACGACATGCCATCGATCCCGGAAGCAAAGTCCTGGAAATAGTGAGTATGCAATTTTTAGCGTACGGGGGAACTTAAGGGCCCGTTAAGTGATCTTTTCGAGCCGTTGCTAAGGAAAATTTATTCTCATATAACGTCATTATTTCTAGTTAGGTCAGAGTTAATTCATGTGTTTTAACTTTTTCATGACACCAGTGATGACGTCATCAGGCCACAGCATTGGTCATCTTTAATCTTCAATCTTTAATCATTATTTATACACGATAAAAACATCAGGTAGAAAAAATTACATAATAACGGCTAAAAATCCAAATCCTAACATTACATTAACTTACATTAATATGCCACTTAAGAAAAATCCTATTTTCCATGAATGCTGTGTTTAAAAACTATAGTGGAGAAGGCGTTTAAATTTGATTAATGAACCAGACTCTCTAATGTTACAGCGTAAGCTGTTCCAAAGGGTAGCGCCAGTGTAACTAAAACTATTTTTTATGTAGTTAGTTCTTGGAAAGGGGACAACAAGTTTGTTTACTGAGTCCCTCAGAGAATAGCTTGATTCATTTCACTTTATAAATTTAGACGTGAGATATTCCAGAACAAGACTGTTTAAGAACTTGAAAACCATTAAGACGTTGTGAATTTGACGTTGAGATTTTAAGTCTTTCCAGCTGAGTTTGTGAAATAAGGAATGTGATGAATGTCATGTGACTAATACTGAAAAAATACACAGGCTCCCAGGCAAATTACTTTATACAGATTTTTTTCATTGATTTAATATTTTAAAATTTAAGCCTCATTAGGCTTGTGCATAGATTTTGCTTCATTTCTAAGGGCTATGTTTACAACCTTGGCGTAAATCGAAACACGAAATCGAAAAAGGCTGGATTTGATGAAAAACCACATTTCCTTTACCATTTAAACAAACGGAAAGTGTATCCAATATATACTGGAAGTTACCCTGTCAATGTGTGCGCAATTTACACTACCAGGACAAATAAGTAAGATCAAACAAGGCAACACGGAGTCAGTTTTTCTCCTTCTTTTGCTGTTAATGATGGTAATATTTAGGACTGAGTGGAGTCCAATGCAGTCTGTAGTCCTACTCAAATTTCCCTGGAAATTGTATTGCCTTTATTTTCTCTACACAAGTCAAGCAACATATGCAATGAGCGAAAATGGCCTTTATTTTGGCAGTTCTAAATGTTTTCTTTATTTTTTGAGGCATTTTTTTTTTGGCACTAAGAAAACCACACAAAATTGAAAATTGGAACCCCAAATTTTGGGGGTTATGTTATACTTCCTGTAAATTGGCACATTTCAGAAAACATCCTAATTCTTTCAGAATTACTGCGAAATTCTCCTTCTTTCCACACAGCTGAAAACTATTTGCTTATCATCAACACAAGCAAAGTTATTATGTTTTTTCCTTATGCTCTAAAAAACGTCTTCCTCATGTTTGCTGACATAGTCTTGAAACAAAGAGATTTTTTTCAAAAGTGGGACCTCTACATGAATGATGACTGTTATCAGCATAATGTACTAATGTACTACAAATGTCTGGGTTAAAAGTTGTGGTCACTCTTTATTTTGAAATGTAAAAGATTCAAGCAAATAGCTGAAAATTTACCTGTCAGTGATTAGATCTATTGATTATTTACGTTTGGAGAACTCAATGAGACTTCAATTACACCAAAATATTGGGAAATTTTCTGAGCCTTGCTTTGCTTTTGACTTTTAGCACTGATCACTAATCATCACCTTTCCGTCACACATCACACATTCTTTGTTGAAGTAAAAATCTCATATTCCCATGGAAATCAACAGCGTTAAGGTTTTTTTTATATGGCTAGTCTCACCTTCGGGTAGTTATGGTACTCTTGTTCTACCCACTTATCCTGCTAACGACAACAGTGAAAAAGAAAACACTATTCACGTGGAGTTGCAGGCTTTACTGATCAGCAGACCGCCTTAATGCATGCATAAGGGGTGATCTTGAAAAGTCGAGATTTTAATTTGCACGTAGAACAAGCACAGAATATTCTGTATCCACAAAGCTAATATTTCGGAAACTGATTCAGTGATCCTACTTTTTTTAATGCAAAAAAAATATTCAACAGCAAAGATGGAATGCATGTGCTAAATTGTAAAAAAAAATGTGGGTTTGAATTCCTCCAAATTTGGAAATTTCCATTTTTTTAATAATAATAATAATAATAATAATAATAATAATAATAATAATAATAATAATAA